AGCAAAGCACATTTCCTCTCCTTGCAGCCCACTTGAACTATGATCTTACTGTACTGGAAACCGTTCCACGCTGTCCCTTTGAGCCTGAAAGTTTCCAACCACAGCCAAAAATACCCTTTCAATGTGGAGAATCCAAAGCAAGTATTTTCATCTGTTTCAGCCATCTGACTTTCAAAAGAATTAATTTATGGAGCTCACGAAACAATCATTTTAATGGCAATAAGTAAGTAATTTGGAATTATTAGCCCACATTCTTTGGATTTCTCTGCTTTGGGATAGACAAGGAGAACGGGAGCCCCTCCGGGCGCCCTGGGGAGACCTGTTGAGCCTTGTCGAAGTGCTGGAATCCATTCTGGGTAATTAGCAGCTTTGTACCTTGGAGAGAAGGTGGCATATGCAAGTCTAAGGAGCAAGGCAGGGACAATCCGTGATGAAAAATGAGCAGCAGCAGCCAAAAGGGATGCTCCTCATTCTGTCATTCAGAACCCGGGTCTCTTCAAGAGCGCAGAAGAGCAGAGCACAGAGACAGCAGGGTGAGCAGCATGAGCAAGACCACTCATTTCTAGGAACAGACTGCTGAGACCGTACACGAATACAGCCTAAAGTCCGAGAAGGAAACCAAGAGGAATTAGTCTTTTCATCACTGCGGAGTTTCCTTTGTTCCAGGAACTGGGCTATTTCATAGTGAAGTGGGAACAGGTCGCAGGTGAGGCGATTCTTTTGTTGTGGATTCTAAATATCTTCATAAAGACTGTTAGATGATGCTGCCCAAGGCTGGTTCTAGTTCTCTATTACGGAATCTTAAGATAGCCTTTGATGGGTGGCCAATTATTTTAGTTCCTTTATGATTCAAACAAATGTAATACTTCTGAAAGTTGTCAGTGGTGTCTTTACTTGTTCTTTTTGTCCAGTGAGTCGAATTTAAACACAATGTATTTGATTCTTAGTTTAACTTTGGGGGTGGGGGTGGGGAATGACAGGGTTATATCCCGTGGTTTAATTTTTATGTCTTAGATTTAAGAATCTTTTAGTAGAATATGCAGACTTAGAAAGCACAGTGTACTCTTTGATAATATCTTATCATATGATCGGTTGAGATAGTTTGTGCTTCATCTTCAATGAGAACATCTTTTGCAAGTGCTTCACAAGGAATTATCTTTGAAGGGACAGTACACTGTATACATTCACAGTGGTATAACCTGCTCCGACGTGTAATGCTTTAGGACCATAGGTGTAGACCACGTATTCCTGTTAGCAAGATTGAAAAGACCTGAAGGCTTTTTAAAGTTAAATTATTGTCTGGAGAGAAAATTCTCTTTCCTTTCAGTTTGCTGCTTTATCAGCATTCAGCATTCTTAAGCCAGGGTACCTGTATGGGATCCCATACCCCTTCATGTATGTTACAGTTCAGGGGAGGGGAGGAAAGGAGGTTAACAGGAGGCAATGGTGGTAAGTTTACATACTCAACTATAAATTTTTTTAATGAATTTCTCAAAATTTACTCGGTTTAAGAAACTATAATTAGTTAACTCTGGTGTCACTGTCAGGTAAACATTAGCCTGCTAACTGTGAGGTGACAGTCCAGCGCGCCAGCTGCTCCACAGAAGAAAGTTGACGCTGCTGTGCCTGTAAAGGCCTTCCTCAGAAGCCCCACGAGGCGGAATGGATGGCACTGGGCTTGGGTCCTCTGGTTACAGTTCTTAGCATGTACATCATATGTTGTTGCTGGGTGCCATGGAGTTGGTTCCCACTCATAGTGACCTTGTGTACTACAGGATGAAACACTACCTGCTCCTGTGCCCATCGATGCAGCCACTGTGCCAGCCCATCCTGGTGATAGTATGCATACACATGCATCCTACATATAGCATACAGTCTGTGTGTGAGCTTCTATGTTTATCTGTTCAAAATGTGTTTCCTTTTGGGGACAGGTGGCATGTACCAAGTGCTAGATGATAATTTTGTGTTTTCATAATGATACCCTTATATAATTTATTTGGAAAGCTTAATGGTCTATGAAATCTGAAAGCCTGAGACCTACTTAATATTTCTTTAGTACCACAAGCAGAAGACTGAAAAGTTATTCAGATGTCTCAGAAATTAGGTACAATAAAAGTATACAAGTTGGGGGGGGGTTTGGGGGGAAGGAACTATGTAGCCTTCCATATTTTCTACATCTTCACTGTGCTTTGAAATACACAGTAGAGGCAGATAACGAAAAAGGAACCAATAACAGGTAAAGTAGGGAGTAAAAATGGTGGGTGGAATATTATTAGCAATTAGAGACAAAGTAATACGTTGTTCTTAATGATTGAAGACAAAATAACATTGTATACAGTTAGTCTCTTCAAAACAACAGCAGTACACTTGGGAATTTGAGTGGTCGAAGCTCTGAGACAAAATTTGTTCACAAAAGGTACCTCTTCCCTGCACCATTCTTCGTTCTTCGCAAAAGGTACCTCTTCCCTGCACCATTCTTCGTTCTTCGCGTTGTTCTCATAGGAAATAAAATGTAACAATTGCTGCAGATGATTTCTAAAGTTCCATGATTTAAAATTTTTCCCCCTCGAGTTTTCAAACTTTTGGCCTCATAGCTTTTCAGAGAACCTAAAGCAAAAGCTTACTGCATACAAATGTAAAAGCTGACCTTGAGATCATCTCTTTATTTTTCTATATTGAACATAGTTTGAAAACCATCTTTTTATAAAACAATGGATCTTTTTCAAAATTTTACTGTCATTTGGGTGCGAGTTCACAGAGCAAATTGGGCTTTCATCCAGCAGTTCGTGCACACTGTTTCCTGACATTGCACTCTGCGCGCTTTGTAACAGTTCCTCCCTTCGTTTACCGAGCCCACTTGTCCTCCTGTCCCATGCCTTTCTGCCTTCTGAACTGGATCCTTGGGTAAACGCAGCACTTTACATCTCATCTGGCTGATTGTTCTAAGGTGTATCTCCCTAGTGTTCTTATTTGAGCCACAAGTGTGCACTCAGTTTTAAACCCAACGGGTGTATAAGTGCCCCGTGAGTTTCCGAGATTGCAACTCTTTACGGCATTAAGAAGCTCCATCTTTCTCCCAAGGAGCTGGCTGGTGGTTTCGAACTGCTGACCTTGAAGTTAGCAGCCCAACTTGGAACCACTTCTCCACCAGGGCTCCCACCCTACTCTATCCAAGACTGTTGTGTTGCTTTTCAAAGTGATCAGCAATGGGAGCCGGGCACCATGCGGTCTTCACCCTTCTTTACTCCGGTTGGAGAGAGATTTGCGGTTATATTACTTGTCTGAGGTGGCAGTTCACAAGCTTTTAAGACCTCAATCTCTAGTCACCAAAATAGGATGTAGACATTGACTTTTTCAGTTGACCTTGGTGTCCCTCAAAACTATATTCCTGAATCACCTCATTCCCTTACGGTCACAGCTAGGTTTTTATCACTTTAACCCCATACGCTCTACTATCCTCGATTTATTCACACCATAGACAGTATACAGATGTAAAATATAATACTCATTCTGAATATGATCACAGTCCTTGAGAACCCCTGAATAAATCACTCAGAGAGGGTACATGTCAAGTGAAAAGTAAAGAACAAACATTTTCAGGCTGAAATGACGGTACTGAGAGTTTTGGTGTCTTAATCATTATAAGTGCATTTTTTGTACATAGAAACTAAAGCCATTTGATTACTCTACTTAAATTAAATTAGATTAAAAACATTGGGGAGCAAAGATCACAGGTTAGTCATATGTCAATCTTAGCTTCTATTCTCTCCTTAACAGATGGGTCCTTATGTAAAATTTTACTGAATAAGTATTCCAAAGCAAGCTTTTATATTTCATACTTTAAAAAGTAAAGTGAATAGTGTATACGTTGTGCCGCTAGGTTGCCTTTGTGTAACATTGCATGTAGAAACGTACAATTTACACAATTATAAAAATGAATACATTTATTTATTTTTGTTCATTGAAGCATATAGGCACTCTTCAAGATGGGTTCTATAAAGTAACTCAGGTATCAAAATATTTCTGTGTGAGAAAGACCTATTTAGTAATGAAAATGTACCACTAATGGATCAGTCTGGGTAGATATATCTTTTAAGTAATATTGATTTGACTTTAAATGTCCACATACTTCTCATCAAAGTACAAGTGAATTAGCCAACCATCATAAATATTTAACAAATACAGTAAGTAGTTATAGGAGTCAGCAGTAGGACTTTCTTTTTTTTTTTTTTTCAGTTTTAGAATTTTTCTTCAATCTTGTACTCATCATTACTAGCTCCCTCCATTTTCTTTTGATGCTTCCTGCATCATTCAATATGTTCCCCATAGTCTTTTTTTTTAAATTAATTGGGGACTCATACAGCTCTTATCACAATCCATACATACATCAATTGTGTAAAGCACATGTGTACATCCGTTGCCCTCATCATTCTCAAAACACCTGCTCGCCACCTAAGCCCCTGGCATCAGGCCCTCATTTCCCCCCCTCCTCCCTACTACCCCCTCCCTCATGAACCCTTGATAATTTATAAATTATTATTTTGTCATATCCTACACTGTCCGACGTCTCCCTTCACCCACTAGTAGGGCTTTCTTGTTAGCTTAGTAAGCACTCATCACATAGTGCATATTAACTTATAACCATGACCATGGTAATAATTAGTAACTTGATAGTTAAGGCCATTTTGAATTTTAGCACCATTTTAAGATCCAAGATTATACTACATGCAGTGTTGACAGACATATCTTTAGGCTTTGACCATGTGGCAGTTACAGAAATATTTGGGATCCAAAAAGCTTTTGAGTTTCCGGTGTTTTTTCTGTTAACACAAGTAAACAAAGGAAAGGGGAAGTGCTGAGAGGAGAGTCCTCCTCAGTGGGTCCTCCTTACAGCAGGAGCCTGTAAGCGGAGTGCATGTGTCTGTACGTGTGTGTGTCAGACAATGCATGGCTTCCCTTTGCCACAACTGATCAAAGGCCTACTCGTTCATGTCTTACAGATGACACAGGCTGCCCTAGTAGCCAGTCTGTATCTCCGGTGAAGACTCCCTCTGATACTGGAAACAGCCCTGTTGGCTTTTGCCCTGGAAGTGATGAAGAGTTCACCAGAAAGAAATGCACAATTGGAGTGGTTGGTGAGGGAAACGTCCAGCTAACCCGGCATAAGAAGGAACCCAAGTCAGGCCTGGTAAAGCCAGGTATGTGCACTTCCTCTTCATGGAGTGGTGTCAAATTTGAAACAAAGCACCAGCCTGTCAAGACAGGGAACATGTGTGCTATGCTGTACCCTATGCCTAAAACCATCCTGTTTGTGTTGTTTGTTTGTTCGTTTTTTTTATTTTATTTTTTAAACATTTTATTAGGGGCTCATACAACTGTTATCCCAATCCATACACACATCAATTGTGTAAAGCGTATTTGTACATCATTTCTCAAAACATTTTCTCTCCATTTAAACCCCCGACATTAGGTCCTCATTTTTCCCCTCCCTCCCCGCTCCCCCCTCCCACATGAGCCCTTGATAGTTTATAAATGGGTATTTTGTCATATCTTGCCCTGTCCGACTTCTCCCTTCATCCACTTTTCGGTTGTCTGTCCCCCAGGGAGGAGGTCACACACAGTTCCATGTAATCGGTTCCCTCTTTCCTACCCATTCTCCCTTTACCCTCCCTGTTTTGCCACTCACACCACTGGTCCTATAGGGCTCATCCATCCTGGATTCCCTGTATTTTCAGTTCCTATCTGTACCAGTGTACCTCCTCTGGTCTAGCCAGTCTTGCAAGATAGAATTCGAATCATGGTAGTGGGAGCGGGGAGGAAACCTTTAGGAACTAGAGGAAGGTTGTATTTCTCATCATTGTTACATCGCACCCTGACTGGCTCATCTCCTCCCCGAGACCCCTCTGCAAGGGGATCTCCAGTGGCCTACTAATGGGCTTTGGATCTCCACTCCGCACTCCCCCCATCATTCACTATGGTAAGATTTTTTTGTTCTGATGATGCCTTACACCTGATCCCTTCGACACCTCGTGGTTGCATAGGCTGGTGTGCTTCTTCCATGTGGGCTTTGTTGCTTCTGAGCTTGATGGCCACTTGATTACCTTCAAGCCTTTAAGACCCCAGACGCTATACTTTTTGATAGCCGGGCACCATCAGCTTTAAGGAGTTGGGAGGAGAATGGAACATTTTCTGTAGTGGTTGTTAATTATTGAGCAAGTATAATGATGTGTGTATCCATGGTAAAGAGGTTTTAAAAGAAGCAAAGTTGAAGAAATTGAAGCTGCATGATCTTACGGGCATTTAAACTCTGTAATTTAATGTAGATTAAATTATGCTAAAAATTACTTGGTACCATCTGAAGGGACCACAAATTATGAAAATAGCAGGGTGTCTTCATGCAGATCTCTAGAGTTAGGCATACCTACTCCTAATGATTTAAATGTGGTATGATGTGATATAGAAATGCTCAATAATTAAAGAGCCATTTTTAAGCTCTGAGATAACATACAGATCATAATTGAAGTGGGTAAGATACATGAGCATCATAAAAAAATTATTTCTCAGAATTTGCAATATGCCTCTCAGAAGTAGATACACGGTATAGGAACAAATACTGTTTGAGACAAAATACAGGGACGAACCTTAAAATGAAAGCACATGGGCTTTGGCTCCGAGAGACAGTGTCCACATTGCAGTCTTTCCCTGTGCGCTGCCGTCTGTGTTGATTGCTGAGTGTGAAGACACAGAACACTGGCTGGATGGAACCCTCACCCTTTACATGGCCTTCCAGTTTTTGCTTGGTAATGACGTTTTGGTGGAAGGCGCTACCGAGAGCTTTATTTTGGTGGAGACGAAGCCTGCTCCTGTGTCCCCTGCCTCCAGGTGTTGCATCTCTGCCTGCTTTTGTTCCTCCTGCGGAACTGAGGGACACACCGTATCACAATGGATTGTCCCTCCTCCTGCTCTCCTCATGAATGTTCCATAGTTTCAGAGCGAAAGTTCCTCCGTGTATCAATGCAACCCCTGGTTTCTTAATGGCCCTTCATAAATATTAGTTATGATGAATTTGTTAGTAGCCATCACTATTGAATAATATGAACAAGGAGTGATACAGCATAGGAACAGAAAAACAACCTCTCAGAGACAAATAGGAATGGGAATTTCAGATAGGTCACTGGATACCTTCCATCCTTGGGAGATAAGAATGAGGTCACGAGTGTCATCTCATTGTGGCCAAGAAATAAAACGATGACCTTTCACACCAAAGGACCAGAAGGACCTGTCCTTCTCCGTTGTCTTTGTGCTGTTGTTGAGGTATAAGTTGCATACCGTCAACATCACCCCTTCAGGAGTTTTTTTTGGGTACTCAATCGGACCTGCAGCTATCATGGCACGTTCCAATTCCAGCACATTTTCACCACCACAAAAAGACACCTCCTACCCATTAGTAGCCACTCTTCCTTCCTCCCATGCTCCTCCTCTGCCCCTGGCAAACACCAAACCACTTTCTCTGCGGTTGCGCCCCCTCTGGACGTCCTACACAATACGTGGCCTGGCCTGTCTGGTTCTGTTCACTTAGCATCATGGTTTCTAAGTTTATCCATGTAGTAGCATGGGTGTGTACTTCATTTCTTTTGTGACTGAATAACATTCCTTTTGTTTATCCATTCACCAGTTGATAAACATTAGGTGTGCATTTGGGGGTTATTATGAGTACCACTGATAGGAATCATTATGTACAGGGTTTTTCCTCCAGTTTTCTTTCTTTTTTAAGCTATTATTTTGTCACATTGGTTCCAACTCCCAGCCGCTCTAGACTTTGCGAGGCTATCAATGGTGATGGAAGCCGAAAACCTCATCTTTGTCCCTCAGAGTGGCTGCTGGGTTCCAGCTGCTGACAGTGCCACCAGGGCCCCTCCAGCTATGCAGACCTGAGAAACCGCCGGATCTTGTGGAAGCGCAATGCCTCACTTTTTGAGGAACTGTCCAACTATTTTCTAAAGGATGGGCGTTCCAGTTTATCCGCACCCTCGCCAGTCTTTGTTATTCCATGTCTGTTTGAGTTTGAACCCACCATAATTGGTCCAGTCTGCTCTCTCTGGTGGTTTGGATTTGCATTTCCCTAGCAACTCATGATGATGAGCTGCTTTTCACGTGCCGATTGGCCACTCCTTTGTCCTATTTCGAGAAATGTCATCAATTAGCTTTTGACCTGGAAATAATTACCAGTAGAATTTGCTTCTCCAGTGTGTGAGGTATAAGTTTAGGGTCAAGAATTGGTGATCTCCTATTTGTATTTCCAGCACACGGTGTCTAGGTATACAGCAGGGACTCAGTTAACATGTGTCGACCTCAACAGCAAGGTAGGCTCTGGGGTCTGAGAAGATGAAGTGAGGCAGGAAAGAATGTCAGCTTTGTGGGTTACAAAGAAAAGCAGAGTTCATTGTGAGCATACCTTGGTATTTGACACAACCTGAAGTTATTAAGGTTGTGGCATTTCCCCCGCCTCATGTCAAAACGCATTCTAGACAGTGACAATACACGGAAACCTAGACAAGTAAGGCATAGCATTAATGAGTTATGGTCTCATTGCTCTTCCTGGCTTTGATAGTAGCCGTCCTCTGTTAAAGTAAGACTTTCTGACCTCTGCACACATACAGAATTCACACTGAGCAAGTACCAAATTCTGCAGAAGGAACTTGCTAAAGATCATCAATCACTTGCCTTGCTGAGAACATTTATAGCCTTTGATCTTTATGAAGAATCTGTAGGCAAGGGGAAAAAATAAAAGAAAAATCAAGAGCTCCTGTTCTTTTAAATAAAAAAACAAAACACTTCTATTGTGATTAAGGGAACACGTACAAAGCAAATTGGTTTTCCATTCAGCAGTGTGTGCACACTACTTTGTGGCATTAATTCACAATGTAACAGTCTCTTCCTTTTCTTCCTGTGTTTACCATTTCCTTTCAACGGTCTTGCCTGCCTATTCATGCCTTCTGAGCTTTTACCCTGGACAGGACCTGCCCTTTTGATGGCCTATAGTTGGTTAGCCTAAGGATGCCTGCTGAAATTTTCATTTCCATCCCATTTCTACTGAATCAGAAGCGGCATAGGGCACCTCCCTGGGGATCGTGTGCACCTTGTAGGTCTGTTCATTGTTCAGCCAAAAGAGCCATGGAGGAGGAAGGTTGATGTCAATTCCAGACTTGAAGGGTGACCATGTGCCATAATCTTAAGAGTTCCACCAGCCTCTATCAGACCAACAAGCCTAGTCATTTTTATGATCTTGAGTTTTATTCCATGTTTCTCTACCGCTCCATTGGGACCCTCTACTGTGATTGCTTGGCACCACCTCGTTTTTCTGCTCAGAGCACTGGAGGCTGAGGTCCCTTTGGGCTAATTGTTTTCCATTTGTCTTTTATTTTCTTCACTCCTCTTTTCTCAGGAAGAGACCAACCGTTACAAAAGCTGTGATTTTTTAAGGCTACTTGATTCATGGATTCTTGCAAACGGTTCCTAAACTGTCACAGCATTCCTGCTGAGAACTTGCATTTCCATCCCATATCCACTGAATCACAAGCTGCATTTTAACAAGATGCCCAGGGATCTATAAAGATCACCTGGGGATCTATAGATCTATAAGAATCATCTTGTTCAACTGTCAGGGTGGAGGAGCCATGGTGTTCAAATGTTTGTACGACATTTTGCTATCCTTTCATTTTTCTTGGAGTTTTTTAAGCCTCCTTCTAGATTCTGTTCCAGTAGACATAAGGTAGACGTCAGATTCACGGTAGGAGGTTGAATAGAAATGAACTGGTTGGAAGCCCAGTTTGAAAACCATGAAGGCTGTGGACCTACACTCAAGAAAAGTTCCCACCTGCACAAAATAGTGGGTGCTGTCTCAGAGGACCTTTTTGAGGATTTATTTACCTAGGTGAATGACCCTTGACAGGATCCCTGGTGGCATAATGATTGTGTGTTGGGCTGCTAACCACAAGGTCAGTAGTTCAAAATCACCAGCTTCTCTCCGAGTGAGAAAGATGAGGCTTTCTACTCCCTTAAAGCAATACAGGCTTGGAAACCCACCGGGGCAGTTCTGCCCTGACCTAGAGGATCACCATGAGTCGAAATCGGCTCAATGGCAGTGACTGTTTTTTCTTGGAATGACCCTTGACCAAAATTGCCGCTTTGTCAACTG